TCCCTACACACTTTCAGACTACAGTGTCAAATTAATGCATAGAAGAAAACCAAAATATCCCATATCTTAATGCTATCAAATGATCAAGCACTGACTGATGCTCAGATCTAGCACCTCTATTCTTAAGGCACAGTTACATGTCCAATTCCTTCAGCAGAAGTAATGGCTTAAGTAGATACCATCTCTCCCTCACTCTGGCACCTTCCTTCCAGTTGCTCAGTTACAGTTGTGAAACTAAACAGGAATCAGATCAAACAACTCATCCAAGTTACAATGGATCCTATTAAAAAAAAAAGATTATTTTAACCAAGATAAGTGTCCTGACAGTTCATCCAGAGCCCCCCAACCAGCTACACCAGCCAGCTGTAGGGGTAGCACGGGAAGAGAACAGCCAGAGCTCGGAACTGTGTAAAACCACACCAACACCAAAAAAGCATTAACACAACTGGAACATTTACACAACTGAGCTAAAAAGAAGAGGGAAGGTTATTACACATCTGCATGGGGAAAGGTTTGACACAACCTTCCTAAATATCTTGGTAATGCAGACTGTGGATGAGAAAAGAAACTGTGTTAGAAAGCCAGTATATTTGATTCAGCGTTGCTGATTCCTACATTTGTACAATCATATTCCTTCCTCCTCATACAAAAACCCGAGAAAAACAACATCTGAAAAAACCCCGCATCTCTTCAGGGTAATTTTGATGAGGTGCCTTCTCTGGATGCAAATGTCTCCCAGAAATGCTGTGCTGGAGGGTCAACCATATCCTCTACTGACATCAATAACTGCTCTGTATCATGCAGAGTATGTAAAACACTATCTTTTCACACTGATGGTCAAGGATTGATTTTAAGATTTTTTTAAAAAAATATTTTTATTAATAATAATAAACTGTACCTTTTTCCCTTGCTTTAATACCATAATGTTCCTTCCACTCTTGAACTCTTCTGAAAAGGACATAGCTCTCATATACATATGTATTGGAATGAAAGCAAATCAGAACTTTCTGATTTGGCTTTATGTTTTCTACTTCCCAGACACAAAAATGATCAGTTACCAAAAAAAAAAAAGGGGGAGCAGGTGTCTGCAGTGTGTGGTGTAAGTGGGCCTCGTGCACTGGCAAAAGAACAGCAATGGCGTGAAGTCCTCCCAGCACAGTCCCATGATAATCCACAGTTCAGATGCAGGTCTCCTAGCTGAGGTGGTTCTAATAGCAAGCCTGTCACTACTTTTATTAATGAAGCTGATGTGGTCTCTAAAAAAGGCTGAATACATTATGGGCATGTAGCAAACATATTTACACTTGGCCTCTAAATTTTAAAAATATCATGGTAATCCAGGAATGTTTTGCATGGCAAAAGTAATCATTCTCAGATGAACACTGAGAGCCTCCTTCACACTTGAAAGGGGATAAAGTCCAAGCCAACACAATATGCATGAAAGTCAACATGAGACAGATGAAGTATAAAAACAGGAAAGGCAAGAAAAGCTTGAATAAAAGGAGCTTCTTCCAAAGTGGTTGCCCTTGGATGATGTGCCCCAGGAAAGACTGTGCCTCAGTAAGCAGCTCCCAACTGATTCCAGAAATGACTCAAAAAAAAAAAGGGGTGCAAGAAAAGCTGCTCCAAGACCATCATATTGTAGGGCGCTCGGAACCTGATGACTGCCTTTGGGAAAGCTGTGGCTGTGAATATAAGGGCAGACATGGCTAAGGACTAGCTCCTGAGAGGCTGCTCTTCCCACAGGGACACTCTTCACAGCTTCAGCCGTTCCTCTGAATCACTACAATCCAAGATAAATTCAGGGTGAAAAAGAAAACAACCAACGACTGATGTCCTGACACTTCTAGGTCACTCCTCCTTCGAAGATAACAGCAGAACAGACAGGTACTGTACCAAAGTTGGGTTTGACATCAGCAGCTTCAGCAGTGCTGGATGGCACTCGGAGACCAGGACTGAACAATTACTGACCTGGTGCCTTAGGATGATATCAAGACGTCCTGACTTTTAGATAAAACATAAAAGTTAACTCCATCAAAGAACTCATCCGTACGTGAATCCTTCTGTTTTGGAAGGACAGTGTAAACAGATACCTGCTTAATGTTGTGAAATTTCAAGACTGATTTCTCCCCTTCCCCATGAAAAAAAGCCAAAAAACAATCTCAGATAAGGAAAGTGTATTTAATATTTACCTGTAGTAGAAGAGGGGCAGATATCAAACTAGTACATTTTAAGAGAGGCATGTACAGAAGCGGTCATGCAAAATTGTCATGAAAATTTAAAATAACTACTTGCACTATTTGATAAACCTTCTAATATAATCTCTGCTTTGATGGAATTTGTCAGAAACTCAGAATGCTTTTAGTAAATTAGTAAGGTAAACACAAAACAATTTATCAAAACACAAACCTGAAAGCTCCATACATAACAAAAAGTGCAGTGTGTTTTGTCTGTTGCACCAACTTTGAACTTTTTTCCCCCAAACAACAAAACAAGATGAAACCACAAAACTAAAACAAGTTACAATATGTGCTGGGATACATTTAAATCATTGACATTTAAGTAATCCTAATATCTTGGATTAATCAATAGTGAAGCAATTGGAGACAGAACCAAGCCCACTAACTTAGGGCTCCTAAACCCTAGCAACTTAAATGCAGGATGCAACTGACAGCAGATAGAAGAGATGTCAACTGTTGGTGTCAATACAGGACACTGCGGACTCGCCGGCACTGCATTTAGGCACCTCCTTTAACCCTCTCCACTGGGCTAAACACACGCTAGTGAAACAGACACATCACAGACCCTTTCACATTGACTCCTGATCACAACACGCAGTTAACAGCAAAAGACAGTTTAAAAAAAAAAAAAAAAAGGCAAAACAATCCTACACACAAAATCCCAACTCATGGCTCCTGACCTCAGCCCTAACCTTGCTACGCCCCTCACAAGTGTCACTTCCATCCTTCCCTTTATCTGCCCAGCACACAGGTCTGTGCTGATGGCTACTTGCAGCCCGGATGTGGTGCGAAACATTTGGTACAAACTGGCTCATGTTAATACAAACAAACTACTCTGGGAGGGTCTGAAGGGAACATGGGACCTAGAGCAGGGCTTGGACTGGATCAAGGGTGCCATGTGGGGAGTCAGCAC